CTTAGTTTGTTGTTAAATATCGTTAAGTTTGTTCTCAAAGATCGCTTAATTTGTTCTTAAATTTTGTTTAGTTAGTTGTTAAATATCGCTTTCGCTGAGTATTAAATGACCGAAAACCTGAGTCATTTTCGGCCGGATGGCCGAAAGTCTAAGTCAAGTTCGGCCGAAACCGAAGAAAAACCGAAAGTTAACTTTTCTCTTTCGGCCGAAAGTTAACTTTTTAGTTTCGGCCAAAGCCGAAACTTGGCAGAAAGTGATAAAAATGGCCACTTTCGGCACCGAAGCCGAAATTCGGTCAGTCTCTACCCAGCACCCTATTCCACCAACCCAACCGGCCTTCAACCACTGCCCCAGTGGTCTTTATTCCGATTGGGCCGTGAAGCGGCACGCTGGGGGGGGCATTCCTCCGCCCCTGAGACAGCCCCACCCACCCTTCCACTCGATTGACTATACGAGTGGGGCGGCATCAGAGAAGGAACACCTGGCCGGCCGGGGTGCTACTCACACAGCAACCGGGCCGGACTTTCTAAGGGAATGGGGTGGATATGTTTGCGTCTCTAAGTCTCCCCTGCCCACCCCGGGGGGGGACGTGTTGGTGGTTGAAAACAGACGCCCTCTAATTGGGATTATGTAGTGATCTGTGGTGTGACTAGTTCACACCACAGCTGGGAGTGAGAGAGGTTGCCTAGGAGCATTACCCTCAAGACTGTGTATTTAGAATCATCGGTGAGGGTCGCCACACTCCCTCACCTCATATCCATATGGCAACTGTAATCATGTCCCCACCTGTTTCTGCGTTATTTCCGACTGGACTTGGTAGGAACCATGCAGCCATGCTCTTTCTAATGCATTTTCCGTGCGTTGCCTTTGCCTTTTGGTGCAGGTACCCTACTGGTGATACTGTCCCCCAGGTAACGTTTCAAGGGGTTCGTGGCAAACGCCTCTTTATCGACATGTCATTTTTGGGACGGACATGTCGACTAGAGCCGGGGGGGGAATTCACCGAACTAAAGAGGTCCATTCACAACATGTGTCGGTTGACAGTAGGGCTGCTGACCAAGATCTTTCTACTCTTCACATGAGAAGGCAGACAAAAAAAAGCTTTGCAAAAAAGAATTTTACAATTAAATTAACATAAAAATACATAGGAGAAATCAATTGAACCCAGAAGACAATCTGAGTATCATTTTTGAGTATCTAAATTGCTCTAACATAAAAATAATGTCCCAATTTGGAAGTTACGCATGTACTTGTATTGTGATATTGAGTTTCATAAATGAAGCTTCATTTCTCACAAACCTGAAGTAAATATGTATTCAAAGAAATCCTTTTGCTCCATAATTAGGATGTTTATTCATTTATTTGTTTGTTTTCAATTTATGATTTGTATAATTGTTTTGTATAATTTGGCCTAGACCTAAATACTCTGTATTAAGCCTATCCTTTGGAATTGTAATAGTCCATGATTTTCTCCCATTGAAATCATTGTAATGTTGCCGTTAAAAAACATATTTTAGAGACATAGCTAAAAAATCTCACCTCCTCTGGTTTACTCAAACACAGCAGATGACCCAGGACTCCAACCTGTTCAATATAAATCAGACCAACTGATTCCATTAATTTACCCATTATTTTTTTCTATAACAAAACAAACATTAACAAATTGTACTGGAACTAAAAAAATTAACTTCCAGACCATTTGTAATGTATGGCCACATTTTGTTAAATAATAATAATACATTGAGCCATTCCATCATTTTAGGAACTAGTGGCTAGTAGGTGTTTCCCTCCCTCTCTCTCTCTTTTGACAGCAAGTAATCCTTGACTCATTAATTTATTTAAATTCTTAAAAGAATAATTTGCTATTAAAAAAAAGTATTTATGAAGGCCCATGTTTTCTAGTATTACTAGTTTAAAAAAGGGTAGAATCTTGGTTTAGCATCCTAAAAAGGCTACTGGCGAGTGACCATATAAATAACATGAGAAACTAGGCCTATGCAACACATGCAAAGACCTATCTTTAAATTTGATTTAAACACTTGGTATTTCCTACCCCCCCTACCCCCCCCCCCCCAACCTTTCCTCCCTCACTCTCACATTGCAACAATTCATTTATTACATGATTACTCACAACTCCAAGTAAACTATGGAGGGAGGAGAAGGAAATCCAGGGCGGTGAAGGCTCCCAAGCCAAAGTGGGGGCTGGGAAGGACACTGAGCCTCTGGCCGAAAAAAAGTTTGATGAATTCAAAATAATAGGATTCATTTTGGATCATACCTGCACTTAATCAAAGAGCAACAGAGAAATGCTGTTAATTTATTTTTTATAGTTATTAAATAGTAAAGTTGTTTTGTAATAATAATATTTATTTAAACTATTATAAAAGTATTAAACCAATTAATTTACTGAAACTTCTTCAATAGTAAATTTTTAAAAATTTAAAGGTGCCTATGCAACTTGCAATATGAAAAAGTATTTAATAAATGTACTACTTCTCAGGTGAATAGATTGAGTTGTGGAGCCAAGTTTAAATTTGATCAGGTCAGAATAGCTGAAGGAAAAATTGTTGCAATCATTGAAGAGGTATTCGTTCCACATTTTATTTAGTCTTTTTTATCATTTTCTTTGTACTACATGTTCAATCCTTTTAGCCCATGGGGCTCGAAGGGGCCCAAGCTCGGCTGTACTACAATAACTATCTATGAGCGGTGCATAGACAGCTATGTGTCCCTATGTTGACTGTACCCAGTGCCTCCTACTACAATCACTATCTGTGAACAGTGCATAGACAGCTATGTGTCTCTATGTTGACTGTACCCAGTGCCTCGTACTACAATCACCATCTATGAACAATGCATAGACATCTATGTGTCTCTATGTTGACTGTACCCAGTGCCTCATACAATAATCACGATCTATGAACAATGCATAGACAGCTATGTGTCTCTATGTTGACTGTACCCAGTGCCTCGTACTACAATCACCATCTATGAACAATACATAGGCAGCTATGTGTCTCTATGTTGACTGTACCCAGTGCCTCGTACTACAATCACCATCTATGAACAATACATAGACATCTGTGTGTCTCTATGTTGACTGTACCCAGTGCCTCAAACTCTTTAATCTGAACATGCGTTATAACCAACAAAACTTAGAGCGCAATCACATGATATTGTTCAAAGTCGTGATCGCAGTGGTGGATTTACTTTAAGACCAAACAAAAACATGTCTTTTGGGTAACAGACCCTAAGGGGCAGCCTAAAGTCACATCATTGAAATTATACGGAAAATATTTCAAAGATTTATTGAGCTTTGATTACTTTTAATAACCGTCCTCGGATGCGCACAAAAATCTCAGTGGTCGCATTTAAAGCTAATTTCATCAAATGGCCACTTCTCCTGGGTGCTTATTTAAAGCTAATTTCATCAAATGGCCACTTCTCCTGGGTGCTCATTTAAAGCTAATTTCATCAAATGGCCACTTCTCCTGGGTGCTCATTTAAAGCTAATTTCATCAAATGGCCACTTCTCCTGGGTGCTCATTTAAAGCTAGTTTCATCAAATGGCCACTTCTCCTGGGTGCTCATTTAAAGCTAGTTTCATCAAATGGCCACTTCTCCTGGGTGCTCATTTAAAGCTAGTTTCATCAAATGGCCACTTCTCCTGGGTGCTCATTTAAAGCTAGTTTCATCAAATGGCCACTTCTCCTGGGTGCTCATTTAAAGCTAGTTTCATCAAATGGCCACTTCTCCTGGGTGCTCATTTAAAGCTAGTTTCATCAAATGGCCACTTCTCCTGGGTGCTCATTTCTGAAAGTTGTATTGATTTCTTTGTTGTTTTTGTTCAGCTCATAATACATTTGAACTGAATAGTTTGCCCCCTGAGTAAGGCTAAGGCAAACTATTCGTTATTTTTATGTAGTCTTATGTTATTCCAGGTGTCACTTTAAGCTTGTTAAATATATTGAATTCCGCCTCTTGGTGACTGTCGCTCTAGTTAATGGCACGTTGTTTTTTTCTTTCTACTTCACTCCTTTTGTTCCACCCAACATTTCTATTTAACTGAGTAAGAATGAAAGACTAAACTTAAATACAGTGAATTTATACGTCCACTATCTCATAATAATGAGTAGTTTGATGGTCAAATAAAATTATGCTTTGCACCTTTTAATCCTTAAAATCCCTTTATTTTCATTGCAGTGCGCTTGGCAGAAAATGAAAGCCCCCCCTTATATAGAAAAAATGTGCCGCCAGGGGCAGATTCCTTTCCCCCCCCCCCCCCCCACTCCCCTTTTCTACACAACTGAATGTATAGGAGCTTTAGATAAAAGGATATGACTAATCAAAATCCTTCCAGATTTGGATACCAGTATTTTAATTATAATAATTATTTTTTCCTCTCTAGTTTATGCTGTTAATAGCATTCTATTCCATAGAAATTTGATTATAAACTAATCTAATTGTTCTCTTATCATTCTACTACAGTACAATAATCTTCAAAAGTACTCAGCACGCAAGAGGGAGACAACATGATGCTGCGTAATCAAATAAAGAAGATTGAGGCACATATGAGATGGCATTCTGTGGTGGATCGGCTTAAAAATCAAGGAATATTTATTAAAAATAAATGTATCAATTATTTTTGTTAAAGTTTTCCCCCAAATTTCCCACTCACGGCTGACAACACATAAAACTTTCACATAACATATTCGTAATACACTTTAATTTGATATTGATTTTTATAAATTACATCATTATATATAATACACAGTAAGTTATCAATAAGTTATCAAGATGTTGGTCAAGAAATGTTTGCATCTAAGTGTTTGTTATTTACCTTCTTTAAAAACAACACAGCTCTTAAAAAGGCCAGTTTTATTCCCACAAGTTTGTTGTGTGTCTTCATGACTTAATCACTTGTTTCAAGATTTCACTAAATATTTAATGATGCCAGTCAACGGCCCTCATCATTGTTGGTTTTTATCTTGCAGGTCCCAGACAAGACTAAACTTGCACTGAAGAGATTGAGGGTGGTGGAGGAGCAGAGCAACTCCCTTGTGCTGGAGAATGAACAGCAACGACAGCGGTACGAGAAATGTCTTGATGAGATAGCCAATCAGGTGGTCCAGGCCTTGTTGGCTCACAAGGTAGCTATCTTAAATTATGAGGGTTTATTTGCCTCATATGTGGCTCGCTTTGTCCGCTAAATACATTTAATAAAATATATCAAATATTTATTGCTTATAATATCGAAATATATTTTATGAGATATTATTTAATTTTAATTTCAATTTTTCTTTTCACCAATGTAAAGTGTATTAAACATCCCACCATTTCTATTCAAGATATTATTGAAGTTTCATTACTACAGATAAAAGGAAAGTGAATTAACAATTGGCCAAATTTGCCCTCCTGCATAAGCAATGGGACATGACTCAATGTGGTAAATGTAAATGTTTAAAACTTATAAAAAATTATTATTTCTCGGTTTTGTTTGAACATTTTGTTCATTGGACATTTCTGATCAATCTATTCGAGAGGTTCAGGTTTGTTTCATTAAAATTTTTATTAACTAAAAAGAAGAAGAAGTCAATGACCAACTATTAAATCAACTTTATGGGGCAACTCCTCTCTCTTTGTCCAAATTATTAAATCAACTTTATGGGGCAACTCCTCTCTCTTTGTCCAAATTATTAAATCAACTTTATGGGGCAACTCCTCTCTCTTTGTCCAAATTATTAAATCAACTTTATGGGGCAACTCCTCTCTCTTTGTCCAAATTATTAAATCAACTTTATGGGGCAACTCCTCTCTCTTTGTCCAAATTATTAAATCAACTTTATGGGGCAACTCCTCTCTCTTTGTCCAAATTATTAAATCAACTTTATGGGGCAACTCCTCTCTCTTTGTCCAAATTATTAAATCAACTTTATGGGGCAACTCCTCTCTCTTTGTCCAAATTATTAAATCAACTTTATGGGGCAACTCCTCTCTCTTTGTCCAAATTATTACATTAACTTTATGGGGCAACTCCTCTTTCTTTGTCCAAATTATTAAATCAACTTTATAGGGCAACTCCTCTCTCTTTGTCCAAATTATTAAATCAACTTTATGGGGCAACTCCTCTCTCTTTGTCCAAATTATTAAATCAACTTTATAGGGCAACTCCTCTCTCTTTGTCCAAATTATTAAATCAACTTTATGGGGCAACTCCTCTCTCTTTGTCCAAATTATTACATTAACTTTATGGGGCAACTCGTATCTCTTTGGCCAAATCATAAAGTTGACTGAAAAAATCCTTCCATTTCATTGCACAACTTATGGGGACAAAACGAATAAATCATATCTTTTTAAAAATATTTTGGAAGAGTCACATCACTCTAACTGCCAAATATTTGAACAGCTTTTCTTATTTATAAATTCCTGTCAAAAATATGTTTTTAAGTATAATCTTTTTATTTTCTTCTAATAGTTAATACAAGAAGAAGCGGTGCTTACAATTTCAGGTCAAGCCGAGATGTATAGAATGATTACATAGCTGAAGTGGACTCATGTCTGAAGGGAAATCTTGTCCCAAATAGACTCTAATCTTGATCATGGACAAGAATGTACCATGTTAGTTCATCTTACATTTTTAACATATTTAAATAGTAAATGTTATAGATTTTTTTTATTCTGTTTTTTTTTTAAACCTTTATTAATATCCTGAAATTGTAATTGCTTTTTAATTGTTTTCTAGATTCAACTATAGAATAAACTTTAAGCAACCACAGATCAACAGCACCAACCATTAACAACAGATCAACCAGCACCAACCATTGTTATCTACATCAAGAGATAAAACAACTGACCAGCTGCTGTTAGCTCCAATTTTTTGAATTTGAATTACTTTCAGGGTTTAAAGTAAATATACATTTTTTAATTTTTTAAAAACAAATTTCAAGTGTAAAGATAAACTATAAAAAATTAAAAGTTAATGCTCTATTTATGTAGACTTCAATCTAAAATTGTTTACCAAATAACTTTTGCTGTGCTGCTTATAGAATTCCAAAACTTAAAATAAATAATCAAAATTAAGTTATGAACAAGCGCCAGACATGTTACTGGACGATATCCTCTGATCTAAAATGTTTTGTTTTTTTATACCTGCAGAATGTCTCAATCAGAAAGACCAAGTATATGATCATTGGAAGGAACTCACTGGATTCTGAGGGACTAAGTAGATCTTGGAGTCAAGTTTTGGAGCTCATTGAAACCAAATAATTTAATTTATTACATTTGAAACTGTTATATATATTTAAGTGTGATTATTAGGCTAATTCAGTGGTTCTCAAACTGTGTGTCCAGACAACCTAGGGGGTCATTTAACAAAATACCAGAAATTTGAGTGGTTTTTAAAAAATGTTAATCTTTGTCATAAATGTAACTTGTTGTAACACATATCATTTTAAATTGAAAAATGAATGGGGGTGCACATTTGCAGATGCTATCAAGGGGTTGCTGTGATTAAAAAAAAAAGTATGAGAACCGCCGCACTAATTTTTAATGTATGAAATTTTCTGTAATTCACTGGAATGTTTTAAAAAATTGTAATCCTCATATGCATATCACATCACTTTTTACAACTGTGGAGCAAGTATTCAATCTATACAATCTAACCCTTCTGCTAGTCTGATAAGATGGCTTTGAATGACTTGAATGACAATCTTTCACTGGTCAAGGAATGCTACTACTGTTGAATGACTGCCTCTTGGGAAGCTTTATACAAGGTCATGTTTCTTCCCACAGTTACCTCTCTTTTTATATTGCACCAGCTTTTTTGGGGTCTTCTGTAGATTGGTGTCCCTGTTCTGTCCGTCTTGGCACTGTCCTGGGAAGAGAGCTTGGTGGTATTCTATGGATATATCCGAGCGATCTCCAGTAACTACCTGCTTTTAATTCATGTGTTTTTTTACCACACTGGCTGCTACACTTGATTGGCATTTCAGTTCTTCAATGCATCGTCTTTGGTCAGAATATTCTGTGGGAGCTTTGTAGACATTTGGTCTGGATAAATTCTAGCTTTCATTGTAATGTGATAGTAGCCTTCCAGCATAGAGGATGATCAAGATATTGTTGCTGTCACAGCTGCCACCTGTTGTGACCTCACTTCCTAGGCACTTACACTCTGTAACATCTCTGAGGGGGTATTGTTAAGTGATTGTGTTCTCCATTTGTGTTTGGTTTTTTCCTCATGACGGGTGTTTTCCTGGTTTTGTTCTTCCTCATGACGGGTGTTTTCCTGGTTTTGTTTTTCCTCATGACGGGTGTTTTCCTGGTTTTGAGCTTAGACACTTTTTGGTCATGAAACCCCACCCTATTATGACGGTTTTAGCCAGTCTACGTGCATGGTCATAAAAATGTAACGTATAAATATCAACTGTGTTTTAAAAATAAAACCAAATAAAACCAAAGCGTACAAAACAAAAGTCATGTTTAAATTAAATTCAAATTTTTTATGAATTCCAAAAAGTGGATGAGGTGTGTGGTTGGACACTAGACTTGTGTTGTCCACTAAAAAGCTGTTGTGGTCATTTTTATTCACAGGAATCTTTTCCCATTTTTAAACTTCCTCCTTTTAGCACGCCTGGTTGTGAAGATAACTTTTTGTTTGGTTTAAATGAAAAAATATGATGGAATGTTTTTATTCAAGCAAATACTATTGAAATGACAATTGCTAAAAATATTTTCTATAGTTTTCTATTATTTGTTAAAGATATTTAGCCCTTCATTCATATTGGCAAAAGAGTGAACAAAATTTATTGCGAAATCAAATTGAATTTAATGATGTTATATGTGTAGAAGATATATTTTTTATGATATTATATGTACAGAAAAAATATTTTATATGATATTATATGTTGAGAATTGGAAAAATTTGCTTTTTGGATATTATAATTATATTTATATATGTGTAGAAAAAATAGTTTTTTCTGATGTCATATGACATGTGCAGAAAAAAATATTTTTGAAATGATTTTAAATGTCCTGTAAAGAATGAATACAACGCAAACACCCTCCTTTCTCTTTAATGTGAATATTCATGAGATTTGTATGTATGTGTACACATATTTTTTGTTTCTTTGTATTGATTGTGGCCATTGATGGAATAGCAACTGCAATACCAAATCCATAATTTCTAATGGGCCACATCTAGTGCATGCTAATTCTGACTTACACACATTCTGTGTTTATTTCATTCCCTGCTTGGTCACATTCCATGTTTTATGTGTTGTGTTCACTTTCGCATCTCATCTAGACTTATTTTATTTGATATATTTGAATTGTACCTTAATTTGGTTTGTAGTAAATTTGAAATGTGTTTTTCGGTCTGATAGCCTCTTATTTCAGGCAGCGATTGTCCAAGACAAGCAGCCATTGACTAGGACAACCATGGTTTCCTACAGGCAATATATTGGACATGTAGGTTTGTGTTCAGTAATGATTAATTTGAGGCAAGGGAAATAATTGGGATTTAATTTATCGCCATATAATAATTTTTTTTGAAAAATGGAAAATAAAAATTATATTTAAAAACGAAGAATTTGCTTTGTTGTTAGTGTCTGCCATGTTTTTGTGGGGAGTGGGTTGCGTCCCTTTGTTCGACAGGGGTGGTTTGGAGTTGTCTCCCCTTTCTATAACATTTTTTTTTGTGTCCCTACTCTATCTTGATTTCATCAGTTTCATTGTATCTTACTATCTTGCCATGGGGGATCCCTTTCCCCCTGTGTCGCAATTGTGGTTTTTATTTAAGTGTGATGATATTCGGGCCCGCGTGTTTTGGCCTCCTCATACTTACCTCCCCGACCTACCAACCCCCGGGTTCCTTGAAAGTATCTTAAAAAGGTAGACGATTGCAACAGGTGTTAGCAAATTTACAACATAAAAACTTAAATCGCTAATATAAAATAAACAAAAGCATATTTATGAGGTATAATACGTATTTTTCGTTACAAACATTTATCTAGTCATTAATATATAATCAGAATATCTTAATTGCATATGCTTATCTACTATATATGCATATAAACTTCGGTTTAATATACGGTTGTGTTATCTTTCTTGTTCCATGCCTTTTTTTTTTCCCCTGATTTTCAACGACACAAAG